GTCTCCCTATGACTTTAAGCTGGGAGGCGTGATGATCCATCAGACGGCCGATTGATCACAGACCTACTGTCGGCTCATCGGCTCAGGGAGGTTTTCCCCGTTTCGCTTCGTTATCAGGATTCAAGTTTAGTGCCAAACAAAACCGCTGGACGATATCCTTTAGTTATCATAAAAAGCTTTCTGAAACCCCCCAACGTTTAGGATCCACCAGCAGGGAAGAGAGACCAGAACCATCCCTGACCCAACAGAACACCCAGCCTCCTCTCATTTACCAAGAAAACTTCTTAGCAACTTTTTGGAAAGAGAAACAGAGATAGCAGCTGCAGGCAGGAGAGGTGGTGGTGGTGTGATGGTCTGGGCTGAACCACAACCTGCAAGAGAACCTCTGACCTTTGGTCATCAGATCAGAGCGGACTGGGCCAGATGGAAGGATTTCTACAATAAACGATGGAATCAGCATTTTTGGATTATTCTCAATAGGTTGTGGGATGGGTGGCCATGTTTGTCCCGCCTTCCCAGGGTCAGCATCATCAACACAACAGGAACACACACACATACTCACGCCTTGTGCAGCAGGAGGCAGTAATCCACCAAAACCGGCACCATGTCCTGGAACACAGACAAACAGAATCAGCTCCAGCCGCTCCGGGTTGCAGGGAGCTTCACAGCTTTTACATTTTAATTTGTCCAAAGCTTTATGCTACTAGCTTCAGGACAGTGATCCTGAACCGCTTCAGATCAGGCTCCAGAGCTGCAGGCGGCTCTTTAGTCCACCCCTCCCCCCACAGCTCCCTGGAGCTTTTTCAAATATGAATGAAAATGGAAAAAGATGGATTTTACCTGTTTGTCTTAATGTGGTGTGCAGGAGGTTAAACAGACATTTATTATGTTTTCCAATGCTGTAATAAATGTATATAATACATACATTGAAAGAATAAATGTAAACATTTCTGTCAACGAAGACTTGCGTCATAGCCTGCAACGCGTTCAGCGCGGTGCGGTGCCAGGCGGGTGGTTATTGTAAACTAAGCGGTGGATGTGTCTCGGGCCATGGATCCCAAACGGGAAAAAAGAGGAAGATAACTGATGAGAACAGAAGATTCAAAGAAAATAACAAATCATTTGGTTTCATTATCAATGAGGAAGGATTGCCTGCATGGTTGCTTGGTAATGAGTAGTTGCCAATTAATAAAAAGGGTCATTTGGAAAGGCATTTCCAGGAAAGGAATGCTAAATATGCAACCGACCACCAAGTTGGGAGGGAGAGAAAAATGAACTTCTGGATAAATTAGAGTAGAACAAAGAGGGGATTGCATCTTTTCAACAAGTCTAAACGTTCAACTATGTCAGTGTCTTCATCGATGAGCGCTTAAATCACCAAACCGACGTCAAATGTGCGAGTGGAAGAGCAAAGACTGCATTCTGGAAGTACAAAGAACTCATGAGAAACAACCTTCCACTGAAACTCTAATGCTTGAATGCCTACAGTGCAAAAACGATCTGGAAATAAGTAAAAATATCTTAGATTAAGTGTATTTACCCTTAAATTAAGTACCGGTAGGTAAATAAGATGTTTTGCCAATGGAATGATCATTTTTACTCTTAAAATAACATAATTAAATAATATGCACTTCAAATAAGACATTTTATTGTTTTTTTCTTATTTTAAATGTAAACTGTCTTCTTCTATTGGCAAATGGTCTCACTTACCTCCTTAATTCAAGAAAAAAAATGCCCTTATTTTAAGAAAAAATTACTTGTTTTGATTTCAAAATCAGTTGGACGGAGATGTTACGCAACGAGGAGGTGCTACAAAGAAAAGAAACAGAAAGGCCGACTGCTGGACAGGATCATCAAAAGAAAGGTCCTGTACTTCTGTCATATCAGCCGGACCTCATCTGGTCTGGATTTGAAAATGCTCGTGACTCAAGCGCATGTCAAATAGGGACGAGGCGGACGATGCACTACATGGATAGACGAGATAGAAGTGATCACAGGGGAGAAGGACGTGAGGAAGAACATGGCGGAGGCTGAGAACAAAGAAGAATGCGTAATGCATTAGAGACCCACGATCAAAACCGGTCAGGGTGAAGAGTAAGTATTGCATCTCCACTACTGCTGCTAGTTTGGTAGCAAGCATAGAAAACTGTTCACAGATCCAACAGGTAGCGCTCTGATGCAGGGATGGGAACTTTCTTCTTTTTTTTTTTTTTTACCCAAATCTGTCACGCTTATCCCAAGTGGGTCGGGAGCGGTGCTGGTGCATGGTTTTGGTCTGTGGAAGGAAGCTGGAGTACCCGGAGAGAACCCATGCATGCTCAGGGAGAACATGCAAACTCCATGCAGAAAGACTCCGAACTGGGAATCAAACCCAGAACCTCCTTGCTGCAAAGCAGCAGTTCTACCCGCCCACTGAGCAGCCCTTTTTTACCCGAATCCTCCCAAAAAAATAACACCAAAAATAGGATTTATTTTTCATGTTTCTATGCAATCAATGCAATAAAACCCATTAATATTGTAATGGAATTGCAACTTAAAGCACCAAATATCTTCCAGCAGAGTAGTTACACGATGTGACATTTACTCCAGGATAAAGATTAAATCATGAATGCTTATTATATATTTAAGCCCATGTAGTCCTTGTTTATAGTTGGCTAATACAGTTAGAGCCCGTGTTGCCATTAGAGGCTTATAGATGACTTTTTTGTGGCTCCAGACAGATTTGTTTTTGGTTTTTTTTGTCCAATATGGCTCTTTGAACAGTTTGGGTGGACGACTCAGAAGATTAGTCAAGTTTCATTTTTTCTACAGTCGGACCTGTTCTAGCCCCCAGGGGGGGTTCAGGGGGGGTTGAGTACCTGGAAGTGCTGCTCCATGACCTGGACTTTGCCCTGATCCGGACACTTCTTCAGAGCGAACTCTGCAAACTGGAGGAGAAGCTCTACCATCTGTGGAGACAGAGAGCTTCAAGCCTGAGAACAAGAGATTTCATCCAACGGAAGAGTGAGAAAAACCTGGACCTTGTCGCTGATTGCTGCCTTCCTCTTCTGTGAGTCTGAATGGAGGCCTGCAACAGAGAAGCACCAGTTAACACCGACTGCTTCCTCCACTTTACTGGGACCAAAGATTTAGTGGAAGGAGGATCTCAGCAGCAGCTGGCTGTCATACCCACCTACCACAGCCTTGGCAGTGCCCTCATGGAAGGACCAGGCCAGAGACAGAGCCTCAGGGAAATGCTCCTGCTTCAGGAAGCAGTCCAGGCGCTGGACAGAGACAACACGGGTCAGCCAGGCCTCTGCAGAACCACCACAGCTGTTTTCTTCACATGTAAAGCTGAATTCGGCTGCAGGGAGTTTCTCTGTGCTTGGAGAGCCTCTTTAGCTTCAAACATCCCAACAAATAGTTTAACTAAGTGCTTATTCACACAGTGCTACTAAAGGCATGTTTTCACTGCAGCTGAGGGGGTTTTGCTCTGGGCAGATGACTGAAGAGCGCATCACACTGCAAAAACCATCTGGAAATAAGTTCAACATTTTTAAATTAAGTCTATTTTCCTTTAATTTGAGCAGATAAATAAGATGATCCTCCATTGGAAGGAGTATTTCCACTTTTAAATTACATAATTATATAATATACACTTGAAGTAAGACAATGCAATAGTTTTTTTTTTTTTTAATTTTAAGTTTTTTCCCTTCCTTGGTTTTTTCAGGCAAAAAATGCGCTTATTTTAAGAAAAAATTACTGTTTCAGATTTTAATTTTTTGCAGAGCGAGGCAGCGAGCTCCTCCTTTACTCGTGCTTATCTGACTTTATGAAGGAGGAGTATCATGCCTACCTCCTTCCAGCTCCTCAGGGACATAATGTGAGCCGACTGCAAAAGAAGCAGAATGCAGAGTTAAACAACAGGAACGGGTGTGAACACAAATAAATCCAGATCAGAACTAAATGACCCAGACGGGCGTCTCTAGGAGAACATCCTAATGACGACCCCACGGACTGCAGGGCGGAGTCTACGGCTGTTAAAGGTTACTGTTCACTTCATAACGGAACAAGCAGGAGGATTTTCTTTCCCGCCCACAATGATGGACAGCTTTTGTTTACAAACTGTCAGCAAATGGAGCTTCCTCCCCTTTTATTGCTGGGTTCATAGCCTACACGTCAGAAAGGCGTCCAGCACCGCCTGTGATCGTTGAATAAAGACGTGTCGCTGTGTTTTTTCCTTTCTGTGGTGTACAATGACAGATGCAGTCGAGTGAGGTGCTTCATATGCTTTGATGAAAGCAAAACATGTTCAGGTGTTTTCAAATGAGAAAACCGCCTCTGAGAGATAAAAATTCCAGATAAAAAAAAAACAGATAAACCAGATAAAAATTCAGTGTAAGGAGTTCAATGTGAAAAAAAAATTTCGTGTTTAAAATTCAGTGCTGAAAAAATTCTGTGTTTAGAATTCTGTATTTAAAAAAATCAGTGTTTAAATACGGTGTTAAAACTTCAGTTTACAAAACAAAGGCAGATTCCAATGAGACTGTTTTTCTATTATACGCTTTTGATCGAGGCAATAAAAAAATCCCGAAAAATTAGACCAAATTTTTTTCAAACATCAGTTCTGCTGAAGAAAAGTAAACTAAACTCAATAACTAGTAATAAAAGATGTGTTTCTTTGATCACATTCTGAAGGTTTTTTTCTATCGTTTCCTACCTGCCACAGTAGGGGAAGTATTTTGATTTACTGTTTTTTTTTCTTCCATCCAAATGTAAGTAGTACTTTCCTTGGAAGAAAAAGGCCTGTTTTTGATTGGCCGGTAGTGTTTTACCTACAGACAGTTAATCAATAAAGAATTCGGCACACAGCTGATGTTGAGCTAGAAGGCTGAGCGCTTGCGGGCAGGAGTGGAGCGGGAGCACAGCTGTTGGAGCCGCGGTCAGCCTGGAGGTGCTGTTCTGAGCGACCAGGGGTGACACTAAACGCTGCACGTCGGTCGCACTGCGTCCTCAGACTACGCCGTACCCCTGAAACGCTTTCGGTCTGAATGCCGCAGAAGCGGCTAGAACAAGCAGGGAAGGAACCAAAAGAGAGAGACGACCTCTACCTTGGTGCCCAGACAGACGATCTGGCCCGCGTGGCTGGACAGGGACTGGTAGCAGGCTTTTTCTCCAACCAGCGCCTGGAACACAAAAACCTCCGTTCAGCCTGAACCAGAACACATCACTGTCACTGCATCAGTACATGTGGCTCCATTCAAAGAAGCACTGAAAAAACCATCTAAAAATAAGAAAAAAATGTCTTAAATGAAGTCTATTTAATTTGATGACCTACCAATGGAATGAGTATTTTCACTTTTAAAATAAGATAATTAGATGGTATTCACTTGAAATAAGACAATGCATGTTTTTTCTTATTTTAAATATAAATGATCTTGTTCCCTGGCAAAGTGTCTCACTTACCTCCATAATTTAAGAAAACATGCACTTATTTTAAGAAAAAATTATGTACATTTTTTGTAGTGAGATTTCAGTTTCAGGACGAAACAATGAAAAAATAAAAATCTAAATAAGTAATTTTTCCTTAAAATAAGTGCTTTTTTTCTGGAACTGAGGAGGTAAGTGAGACTGAGTGAGATAATTGGAATACACTGCAAAAATGGTCTAGACATAAGTAAAAATGTCTTAAATCAAGCGTATTTACCCTTCATTTTAGTAGGTCAATGGGATGATTTGCCAATGGAATGAGTGTTTTTACTCTTAAAATAAGATTATTAGATAATATGCACTTGAAATAACACAATGCGGTTGTTGTTTTCTTATTTTGTAAATTTTTGTAAATTGTATTGTTCCATTGGCAAAGTTTCACACTTACCTGCTTGATTAAAGAAAAATGCACTTATTTTAATAAAAAATGACTTATTGAGATTTCTGTTTTTTCCAGTGTACGACGATTTACATAAAAAATAATAAGAAAAAAAAACAATTGCATTGTCTTATTTAAAGTTCATATTATATAATTATTATATTTCAAGAGTAAAAAAATACACGTTCCATTGGTAAATCTTTTGTACCTGCTCTTTTTAAAGGTAAATAGAGTTAATCTGAGAAATCTGTGAACACTGAACACACGATCTAGAAATAAGTCAATATTTCTTAAATTAAGTGTATTTACCTTTAACTTGAGTAAATAAGATGATTTGCCAATGGAATAAAATAATTAGATAATATCCACTTGAAATAAGACAATGCAATTGTTGTTTTCTTATTTTATATGTAAATTGTCTTTTTCCATTGGCAAAGTTTCACACTTACCTGCTCGATTAAAGAAAAATGCACATATTTTAATAAAAAATGACTTATTGAGATTTCTGTTTTTTCCAGTGCATATTTGTAGACTGTTTTTGCAGTGCCTGGATCTGGAAGTTCGACCTGCTAAAGGCCCGTTCCGGACGGACCTGCCTCTCACCAGAGCCTGAGAGACGTTCCCTCCGGTCGCCAACGATTTGAAGTGTCGACTGTTGTAGACCAGCTGCACCTGCTCCAGATCCAGAGTCTCCAGAACCTCCTGCGAGGGCCGGTCCACGACGTGCAGCTTCTCGTGGCTGTCCAGCAGCACCAAGGTGCAGCTGTTGATCCACTGCGGACACACAGAGGTTCATGTTGGGGCGGAGCCGCTGTTCTGTCTCGAGCGGCGGCTCTGGGTCGGTGCTTACGTTCAGACTGATGATGTCACAGCTCAGGTGGAGTTGTCTTTGTTTGATCACATGGATGGTGCCGCTCTCCTCCTTCTTCACCTTTGCAGATGGTAGATGAGGTCAGAGACACACAGGGAGGAAAAACTATGCAGCCTAAGAGACCAATGATCAGCTGAATATTTGGTCACATGACAGCAAAGATGAGCAGATACCAGGAGGAAGTGGACGGTGTCTCCTTTACAGAAGGCAAGGACGGGGTTGACCGTCTTCTGGACGGGAACAAACTGCCAGGCCAGCTGGGGGACACTGGTCGGGTCCGACTGAGGAATGAAAACATCCAAACAAAGAAGCGGTTTTTTAAATGCAGCTGCAGAGGAAACTAGAGTTCCTCCACAACCAGCATCCCTGCCGGAGCTAGAGGCTGACCACCCGGCTGGACGGCTCGGGTCAGAACACTGGGAGAAGGTCCAGTATCTGTCCTGGAGATCAGCATCACCTGGATGATCCACCGCCAGCTCCAACAGCTCTGAGTGGCAAAGTCAAAGCACTGAGATCTGACTGAGACGCTCTGATGATGCGAAACTTCTAATCTCTAACCGGACTGATGAAAACCGTTTGTTTCATATTTATCAACATTTGCTGGATGATCACAAATAAGGAAGGGGGGTGAATATTTAAATACAGAAGGAACATGAAGGGAGGGAAAACGTTCCCCCATCCTGTGCTGATCTACAGCAGACAGACAGAAGGAAAAGTAATGTGACCTTGGTGTAGGGCAGCGTCATCCAGACGTTCAGGCTGGGCTTCAGTCCAATCACCAGGATCTGGGTAACACCAAAGAAACAACGCATGAGTTCTAGTGTTCTGGTTCTGTCCCGGCTGGCGGGTCCAACGCATACCTTGGTGAGGGAGGCCATGGCGAGCAGAGAGTAGCAGGTGATGGGATGGTCTTTGAGGTCCGGAGGCGTCCGCAGAGGTTCCACGCAGCACACTTCTCCTTTAGAGCCGCTGAACAGACACCGGGAGTCACAGGAGCGCATCCCCATGACCCGCCTGGGAAGAACCGCCACACAGAACACACCTGTCACAGCCGAGCCCGAAATGAGACGACCGCCTCCGAGCGTGTCGATTCCTACAGCTTAGAACGGGCCGGAACCAAGCGGGCTGCTGCACGGGCCTCACCTGAATGTCAGCTCAAACACAGAGCCTCCGCTGTCGTTGCAGACCGCCAGAGTCGGGTCGTCTGTGAACTACAGCAGAGGTAGAGGTCAGTCCAGGAAGGGACCGGTTCTACAGAACCGTCTGGGAGAAGGAACGACCATCCTCCTCCTCACAGAACTCTCAGTTCAACCTAAGCACCAAATGTTCTGCTACCAGACACAGATAACGGGTCGGGTCCGCCGCCTCTTATACAGCTGCTGTTGGTCCAACGGAGCCGCTGTCTGTGATTGGACCTTTACTGAATCTCTAGGGGGCGCTGTTTGTAAAGTTAAGAATTCAAAAATTAGGAGCAATCTTTATGGTTATGTAGCGGGTTTTAAGAGAAAAATAAGGGGCTTATTTTTTTTTCCATATAATTTTTTTACTGTCATTCATTCATTTATAAAAAAATAACTTTTTTTAAAATAAATATTTAGTTTGCAGCTAAATATTTAGTTAGCAAATTAAATATTTAGTTTGTTAAATAAATATTTAGTTTGCAAATTAAATATTTAGATTTTTAAATACATTTTTAGCTCCAAACTAAATATTTAGTTTGGAAATTTAATATTTAGTTTGTTAAATTAATATTTAGCTCCAAATTAATAATTTATTTTTCAAATTAAATATTTAGTTTATTAAATAAATATTTAGTCTGGAGCTAAATATTTAGTTTGCAAATTAAATATTCATTTTGAAAATTAAATATTATGTTTTTTAAATAAGGTTTTTGGCTACAAACTAAATATTTAGTTTGCAAATTAAATATTTAGATTGTTAAAAAAATATTTAACTCCAAATAAAATATTTAGTTTTTTAAATAAATATTTAGCTCCAAACTAAATACTTAGTTCGCAAATTAAACATGCAGACGACCTTGTTTCTGAGTCTAAACCAGCCTTTAGTGTTGATGATGGCATCAGTGGGAGAGAAGTCAGGAATGTAAACAATGGAGAGCAACATGGAAGGAAGCCAGGGCGTAGTCAGTGTGCATTATTGTTTCTCTCTATTATCTGTCTGAATCCCTCTCACCAGAACTCCTCCATGTTTATCAAATGTAAACAGAGTTGTTTCTGCTGGTTAGATCAGAAGCAACTGGTGCGGTGTGTTGACGTCCGTACATTGCGTTCAATGGTATCCTTTTTTTTTAGCTCTGGTGTTCCCATGGCATGCTGATCGGAGCCAAGATGATTTTAATGCGGGTCCCTTCCCGAGTCGTTTGGCCTGAGTAAACATGCATCAGTGAGGTGTTCCCACTGCCACTAGAAGCCCATTGTTCCCAAGTTTAAACAGGTTTTTCGGCCAATCAGAAAGGGGGATAATTCATACAATAAATGGTTTCTATTGGCTGAAGTTATGGAGCTAAATTCCAAAATATTTCTTAAACAGAAACAAAAAAATCTAAAACTGAAAGAACTTTTTTAAAACAGAAAAAGATCTGAAAGTGAAAAGTCTTTGAAAAAAGTTCAAAAAGATTTTTCTGATTTTTTTTTTCTTTTCTTTAGGTTCAAACTTTCCTCACCTTCACATGCAGTATGGCAGTTCCTGGAGGATGGGCGTCTGTGATGGTCCTCAGAAGCTTCCCGTTAGCCAGATCCCACATGGTAATCTGGCCAAGCACAATTCATAGAGCAGCAGTGTAACTTCTATGTCTCACACTTCTATAAACCGACTGATATATATGAAGGTTAATTTTGTTTCAAAACTATTTGTGCATTGTAAGTGTGAATTTGAAGTAGTAGAGAGACTTACATTCTAAGTTTTGTATTTGTAGATTTAAGATACTACCCACAAGTCACAGATCATTTTTTACGGTATGACATTTGTGTCAAAAGTGAAAATGAAGGCGCAACCTGTAAAACTGAATTTGTGACACACAGCAGCAGATTCACGCAGAAGTATTCATTGATTTGTATTTGTGTTAAGGAAAAAAAATATATATATATAAATATATATATATATAAACATATTATATATATATATATATATATATATATATATATATATATATATATATATATATATATATATATATATATATATATATATAT